AAGTTGCCCAGGCTTAAGTGCAGTGGCTATTCACATATTCACAGACATGATCATAACACACTACAGCCTCAAACTTCTGGGCTCAAGTAATCCTCCTGTCTCAGCCTCTCAAATAGCTGGTGCTAAAGTCGTGTGCCACCATGCCCAGCTGGTTTTGAAAAACACAGAAAAACAAAGTGCAAAAGAAAAATAATTGTCAATCAAGACTTATAAACTCAACTAAGATATCATTGAAGAAAAAGACTAAAATAAAGACATTTGCAGACAAATAAAAACTGAGAAATTTTACCATCAACAGATTCTTACTAAAGGAATTTCTAAAAAGAAGTACTTCAGAGGAAGAAAACAAAACTGCCAGAAAGTTCTGAGCTGCAAGAAAGAACAATTTTTACTTAGAATAAGAATTTTCTCATTGCTTCCTAATTATTAGGTTTATATATAAATTTGTGACTTTAACCATTTAAATGCAGTGTTAAGATTTGAAAATAAATGTTAGAAGTTAAGGGTCTTTTTTTTTTTTTTTTTTTTTGACATTTATCCATTAAAAGCCTATTAAAATTTAGGCCTTTAAAAAAGGAAGGAAGGCCGGGCGCGGTGGCTCAAGCCTGTAATCCCAGCACTTTGGGAGGCCGAGACGGGCAGATCACGAGGTCAGGAGATCGAGACCATCCTGGCTAACACGGTGAAACCCCGTCTCTACTAAAAATACAAGAAAATTAGCCGGGCGAGGTGGTGGGCGCCTGTAGTCCCAGCTACTCCGGAGGCTGAGGCGGGAGAATGGCGTGAACCCGGGAGGCGGAGCTTGCAGTGAGCCGAGATCGCGCCACTGCACTCCAGCCTGGGGCACAGAGCAAGACTCCGTCTAAAAAAAAAAGGAAGGAAGAAAAGAAGTAAAAAACCAAAACACCTCCTAGAACTAATAAGCAGTTATAGTGAAGTTATAGGACACAAGATTAATATATAAAGGTGAATCACAGCCGGGCGCCGTGGCTCACGCCTGTAATCCCGGCACTATGGGAGGCCAAGGCGGGCAGTCAGGAGTTCGAAACCAGCCTGGCCAACATGGTGAAACCCCATCTCTACTAAAAATACAAAAATTAGCTGGGTGTGGTGGTGGGCACCTGTAATCCTAGTTACTTGGGAGGCTGAGGCAGGAGAATGGCTTGAACCCAGGAGGCAGAGGTTGCAGTGAGCCAAGATCGTGACACTGCACTCCAGCCTAGGCGACAACAGTGAGACTCTGTCTAAAAAAAAAAAAAGGTGAATCACATTCCTATATACCAACAATAAACAATTGGAACTTGAAGTTAAAAATAAATACATTTATATAATATTAGCACACCTCGAAATGAAATACTTAGGTATAAATCTAACAACATGTGTACAGACATACAGAAGGAAAACTGTGAAACTCTAGTTAAATAAATGGAGAGATTTTAAAATTCATGGATAGGCGGACTCGATATTGTAAGAGGTCAGTTCTTCCCAATGATATCGAAGGAAAACAAAGTCAGAGGACTGACTGCCCAAGTTCAAGGCTTAGCATAAAGCTACAGTAATAAAGACAGTCTGGCATTGGCAAAAGAAAGGAAGAATAGACAAATAGATCAATGGAACAGAATAGGGAGCCCAGAAATAGATCTTCATAGATCCCCTGAGCCCCAGAGATCTGCGCTCTAGTGCACTATGCCAACTGGGTGTCCACACTAAGTTCGACACAAATATGGTGACCTCCAGGTTGCCTAAGGAGGGGTGAACTGGCTCAAGTCAGAAGAAACAAGTCAAAACTCCTGTGCTGATCAGTAGTGGAATCGCACCTGTGAAGAGCCACTATGCTCCAGTCTGGCCAATATCGCAAGACCCTGTCTCCTTACAAAAACAAGGAATAGAACCTAATAAATGTTGTCAACTCATTTTTTGACAAAGGAGCAAAGGCAATACAAAGAAAATACTGGAGGCACTATGCTCCAGTCTGGCCAATATAGCAAGACTCTGTCTCCTTACAAAAACAAGGAATAGACCCTAATAAATGTTGTCAACTCATCTTTTGACAAAGGAGCAAAGGCAATACAAAGAAAATACAGTGTTTTCAACAAACGGTGCTGGAAAAATTGGACATCCACATGTAAAAAAAAAATGATTCTAGGAACAGACTCTATATCCTTCACAAAAAATTAACACAAAATGGATTACAGATCTAAATGTAAAATGCAAAACTATAAAACTCCTGGAAGATAACACAGGAGAAAATCTAGATGGTCCTGAGTTTGGTGATAACTTTTTAGATACCAAAGGCACAACCCATGAAAGAAAGAATTGATAAGGTGGATTTTGTTTGATTAGAAATTTCTGCTTTATAGAAAACATCAAGAAAATGAGGGGGAAAAATCCACAGACAGAGAAAAAAATATTTACAAAAGACACATCTGATAAAGGACTGTTTTCCAAAACATGCAAAGAACCATTAAAGCTCAACAATAAGAAAACAAACAGTCCGATTAAAAAATGGGCAAACGACCTGAATGGGCACCTCACCAAAGAAGATACGCAGATGGCAAATAAGCATATGAAAAGATGTTCAATATCATGCATCATTAGAGAATTGCAAATTTTAAAAAAGGAACACCACCATCCACCTATTAGAATGACAACCATTCAAAACACTGACACCATGAAACCCTGGTAAGGCTGTGGAGCAGCAGGAACTGTCACTAATTACTGGCAGTAATACAAAATGGTACAGCCACTTTGTGAGACAATATGGCACTTTTTTACACAGCTAAATATAATTTTACCCTACCATCCAGCAATTGCATTTCTTGAATTCAAATGAGTTGAAAAAGTTGAAAACTTATGTTCACACAAAAACCTGCACATGAATGTTTATAGCAACCTTCTTCATAATTGTCAAAACTTGGAAGCAACCAGGATGTCCTTCGACAGGTGAAAGGACAAATAAACTGTGGTATATATCAAGACAATGCAATGCTATTATTCAGTGATAAAAATGAGTGAGCTATTAAGGCACAAAAAGGTATGATGGAACTTTTGATGAATATTGCTAGTTGAACAAAGCCAGTCAGAAAAGGCTACATATTGTATGATCCCACCTATATAACGTTCTGGAAAAGGCAAAGCTATAGAGACACTGAAAAGATCCGTGGTGGCCAAGGATTTGGAGGAGGGAAGGATGAATAAGCAGAGCACAGAGGATTGTTAGGGCAGCAAGACGATTCTGTACCAAACCGTAATGATGGATACAGTGTGCATTTTTCAAACTCGGGGAGCTGACAACATCAAGAGTGAGCTCTAAACTAGGGACTTCAGCTAACAATGATGTATCAATACAGTTCATCAGCTGTAACAAACTGTACCACACTATGTAAGATGTTAATAAGACAGGGGAGATTGGAACGGGGTATATGGGAAATCTTTACTTTCCGTTCATTTTTTCTGTAAACGTAAAACAGTTCTAGGAAATAAATAATGAATAATAAAAATAAATAAATAAAACTTAACCAGGCATGGTGGCTCACACCTGTAATCCCAGCAATTTGGGAGGCCAAGGCAGGAGGATCACTTGAGGTCAGGAGTTCGAGACCATCCTGGCTAACACGGTGAAACCCCGTCTCTACTAAAAAATACGAAAAACTAGCCGGGCGAGGTGGCGGGCGCCTGTAGTCCCGGCTACTCGGGAGGCTGAGGCAGGAGAATGGCGTAAAAACCCAGGAGGCGGAGCTTGCAGTGAGCTGAGATCGGGCCACTGCACTCCAGCCTGGGAGACAGAGCGAGATTCCGTCCCAAAAAAAAAAAAAATACAAAAATTAGCCAGGCATGATGACATGGGCCTGTAATTGCAGCGACTTGGGAGGTTGAGGCAGGAGAATTGTTTGAACCCGGGAGGTGGAGGTTGCAGTGAGCTGAGATCGTGCCACTGCACTCCAGCCTGGGCAACAGAACAAGACCCTATCTCAAAAATAAAAATAAAAAATAAAAAAGATTATACTAAACTATAATAATACATGAGTTTAGCAAGTTTATAATATACAAGATCAACATACAAAAATCAATTGTTAAAAAAAAAAAGAAAGAAAAAAGAAAAACAAAAAGAAAAACTGACCATGCATGGTGGTTCATGCCTGTAGTCCCAGCACTTTCAGAGGCCGAGGTGGACAAATTGCTTGAGCACAAGAGTTTGAGACTAGCCTGGGCAACATGCGAAACCCCATCTCTACAGAAAATACAAAAATTACACAGGCGTGGTGGTGGTGGTATATGCCTGTAGTCACAGCTACACAGGAGGTTGAGGTGGGAGGATCACCTGAGCCTGGGGGGTCAAGGCTGCAGTGAGTCAGGATCATGCACTCCAGCCTGGGTGACAGAGTGAGACTCCGTCTCAAAAAAAAAATTAAAATAAATAAAATAAAAATAAATAAAAAAATAAAAAATGAAAAGAAAAGGAAAGAACAAATCAATTATATTTCTCTATAACAGCCATGAACAATCTGAAAATGTGGTCATTGCCGCCATAATTTACATGCTCAAGAGCCACATGGGACCAGTGGCTGTGCGATGGGAAGGCCCAGATAGAGAACATTCCCATTCTTGCAGAAAGTGCCACTGGACAGCACTGCTCCAGCACAAAACAATGGCTCAGTCTCCTCACCTGAAAAACAGGGACAGTTTCTCTCTCACAGAGTGTGTGACTGTTAAACAAAAAGATGTCTAGGCCGGGCGCACTGGCTCCTGTAATCCCAACACTTTGGGAGGCCGAGGCGGGTGAATGACCTGAGGTCAGGCGTTTGAGGCCAACCTGAGCAACATGGCAAAACCCCATTTCTACTAAAAATACGAAAATTAGCTGGGCGTGGTGGCTGGCGCCTGTAATCCCAGCTAGTCGGGAGGCTGAGATAGGAAAATAGCTTGAACTCGGGAGGTAGAGTTTGCAGTGAGCCAAGATTGCACCATTGCACTCCAGTCTGGGTGACACAGTGAGACTCTGTCCCAAAAAACAAACAAACAAACAAACAAAAAAACAGGTAAATATTCAGTAAGTGGTGGTATTGTAAGGTACTGTAATAGTAAACAAGAAGTTGTGCCGACCCTCAGGCTGTTGGCTGTTGGCTGTTGGGAAGCATCCTGGCCTGGTAAATCTCAGTGCCGCCACTCACTGTTAACTTGGATAACTTCATTCCTTCTCCCTTCGGCCCCAACATCCTTGTCTGGAAAAGACAAGACTTGGATCAGATGCTTGTGCCCAATTCTGACATTCGAAGAGGCTGTTCATCAAAGGATATTTCTCTGATAAATGATTGCAGAAATTTTGTCCCTCTATCTCCCTCACAGAAGAGCCAAATTATGTTAAAATGTAACAGAAAATAACCAGAAGAAATAACTTTCTTCTCATTTCTAGGACAGGCGCTAGAATTCTTGGTGAAATCTAACAAAGACAAAAATGATTCACTCTTTCAACATATTCAAGGAGGAAAAAAGAAAGTGCAGAAGACAAAGAGGGAAAAAACGTAAATTTCCAGGTCGATTCAACCTGTTTCAGCTGGCAGCTGGGTGGTGGGGCTGGGACACTTGACCTCCATGTATCTTCCGAACAAAGTGGGAGGGGAGGGCTTCCTGCCATCTTTTGTCATCAGGCAGGCCAAGCCTGGCTAATGGGAACTGTCACCTGGGCCTTTCCAGGTCAGAAACGAAGAACAGCAATTAACTCCTCCAGGAGGCCTGCAGCCTGGAGTAAGCCCGACCAGGCCAGGTAGCTAAATCATTAAAGACACAGTTCTTTTCAGTGATAAATTGTGCAGGCGCCTGAAACCCACTGCTGGCCATTAATCTGGGCTAATCAGGTTGAAAGCTGGCTTGTTTTATTTAGTAATTAACGGGTTATGTGAAAAACATGATCCATGGCCTGGGGTGCATCTATAGAGCACTGTCCAGGAGGAGAGAATGGGGAACGGCAGGAATTCTCTGGAGAGCCACTCGGGCCTATGCAATTACAGCCATTGGCAAACGCTGAAAAATGACCCTGGGCTTGTATTGACACCCAGGAAAGAAACATTCCTGCCACCAGTGGCAGGAGGAGTCTTGAAGGCCGATAATTGCTCTCTCCCTCCCGCCCCTTGCAGCGGCCTGCTAAGCTATTCCTGAAGTTGCAGGGATGCACGGTGATTTTGCAGGGGGCACACACACGGCTCCCCGTGGCTGTGGGCAGCCTGTGTTTGAAAGTAGGCTGGATGGAGAGTGGTGCTATTTGCAAAAATTGGGGTCCCAAAAGAAAGAGAGGGACGGTAAGGGTGGGAGAGATGAACGATTTCCTTCTGAACACCTTGAGATGGAGGTGCTCAGACATGGCCAAGATGGGATGACCAGTTGGCGACCAGATGGATGGATGAATGTGCAGCTCAGGAGCTGAACAAGAGGCTGGGGCTTGAGCTATGAGCACAACAGGGGCCTGTGATGCCCTGGAGAGGGCCAGCGTATGAGGGAGAGTGTATGTGCAGAGTAAAGGAAGGAAGGACACGCTCAGCACCCTGTGGGTGGCCAGGCCATAGATCAGGGCCTATACCCTATACAGTGCTCAGCCTCCTCCTGCGGTCCTGCTGACACTCGGCTACGTGAGCCACAAGACTGAGCCCTGCCTGTTCCACCTGCTAATCGGCCCCAGCATCTCATCTTCCTTCTCCAGGGCCTGCACGCCACACCAGGGGCACCACCGTCTCTGTTGCAGAGTCTGCCACAGATGCAACATTACAGGTCAGCCTGCTTCCCTTCTTACCACCTTTGCTCTGATCTCCCCTATGGAGCCAGGAGGATCTTCCTAAAACCGTTGAGATGCTCCAGAACAATTTAAAGACAAAATCAAAATTATTAACCAGGTTGACCAGGTCTGGCATGAAGTCAGAGCGCTGCCTGCCTCTCCAGCTTCCTGTCGGCTAGCTCCTGCTGCCATCACCCTCAGAGGCACAGCCAATCTAACCTTCACTTGCTTCTTCAAATGTGCCATGTCCACAGATCCACACACACGTGGCCTCCTCTCGGCATCCTCTCTCCTCACTCCCCTCCACATTAGATCCTACTGTGGAAATGTCCCCTCTTCAGGAACACTTGCCTTGCTTCTCAAGCTGGGTTAGGAGCCTTCCTCTTGGGAGCTACAGCCCTGTGCTTTCAGGCCACTTGCTACTTTGTGGCCCTTATCAGTTTCCTTCCATCAATCTCCCTCCAAGCTCCATGAAGGCAAGGACCACGACCACATCTACATTGTTGTTTACTGTTGCGTTTGCAGCTCCTAAAATAGTTCCTGGCACATAGTAGGTGGTCAATAAAACTTGTTGCATGAACGAATGAAAAAGTTCATTGAGTCAGAAAACCTCTTGAAGGGCACTGAATCTCAATCCCACAAATAAGAAAAGTGAACCTGGAGAAGGCTAATAACTTATTGGGTCATAAGGCAAATTAGCGACAGGCCCGAAAGGAAATGTGGGTCTCCGGACACGGCCCAGGGATCTCTCCAGAAAACTACGCTACATCTCGATTCACATCTGCCACCATTCACATCTTTGAAAAATTTATTATTGAAATGTTTTATGGAAGGCCCTTGACCTTTTGATCAATATAAGCAATTGCTTCAGATGAGCAGCCTATTTCTGGAGGTGGGAATATCTGGCATTTCCATATAACATCAATGACTAGAAGAACCAATTTAAGGAACTCCTGAATGTTTGTGTTATGCTCTAGGATTCCTTGGAGGCAGTGTAGTTGAAGGTAGGAGTGAGGGTTTCAGAGTCAGAAAAACCTGGGCTTAAATTCTGGCTCAGTCATTTATTAGTCGTGTAATTTGGGGCAATTTACTAGACCTCCCTGTGCCTTAATTTTTTCATCTCTAAAATGGGGATGATCATAGTACTGACCTAGTAAATGATTGTGAAAACAAATGAGATGCTAATAATAATAGAAGAAAATGTTTATTAAGTACTAGATACTGTGCTAAGTGCTTAATATGTCTTATTTCATTTACTCTCTGAACAACATAGTATTCTTATCTCTCCCCCCATTTTAGAGATGAAAAAAAGTGTGGCACAGGAGGGTTCAGTAAGCTGCCCAAGGTCACAGTGTCAGGAAGCAGAAGAACTAGATCGGGACGTGGGCCATCTGGCTCTCGTTAAACCCCTGCACTGGCCTGATGTATTTCCTGCGAAGCCCGGGGCTGACCGTGTGTGCCATTGTGTCACCTGGATTGAGTAGCAGCAGCACCAGAAGCAACAGTAGAAGTCACAGTTTGTCAAGGTCTGGGCTTATAGTAGGTGTTCAATAAATGGCACCTTGTAGGCCTCTTCTAAGCCTAAGGAATCTGCCCAGGAATTTGTTTTCTACCTTTTCTATCCTTTCTGTAAAAGGGACCTGTGAGCCTTTATGAGGAAATCCCAGCAGCAGGAATCCGTTCCTGTGGAGCTACTGAAGGCAAGCTGGCCTTGGAGGAGCCAATGCTCAGCAGAGGCCAGGAGTCCTGGCCCTGGCTGGCTTCCAGGCGGTGAGCTGCCAAGACAACACATGCCAGGCCCCAAATGGTTTCATCTCCTTCCCAGCCTGAGGCTAGGCTGTGTGCACGCTAACCAGATGGAGTACCGAGTCAAAATACCGAACGAGTGGCTGGTGCAGCCCCTGCGAGAGATACGAGCCCCTGGGAGTCTCTGTTGCCCCAGGACGGGGCACTGGATGTAGGCTGGGAGGCACACCCCAAAAGCAGCCCCCAATCCTCCTAGGCTAGCGTGTCCCAGAGGGGACATTCCAACTTTCTCCAGCCTCCAGGGGAAGCCTATCACCCCTCAGTGATGCACGTTTTTTATTGGCCTTACTCCCTGACTGAGCAAGGGAGGTAGCAGCCATCACATCCAACTTGACAGGAGCACCAATGACAGCAGTTCTTGGCAAAATGGGGAACCACTGAGCCTCAAAGATGGAAGAATGCTTGCTTGGAGACCTCCTGTGAAGGCAGGTGTTGTTACAGCACTAAGGTTGAGAGCCTGAACTCCAGAGGCATCCTCCCCTAGGTTTGAATCCAGGCCCTGCTTCTTACTAGATTTAAGACCTGTGGCTGTTTCTTAACTTCCCTGAGCCTTCATTTTCTCATCTGTATTAGTGGAAATAATAATGATACGTACTTCATAGAGTTCTGTGAGTATCGTACGAGACAACCCACGTAAAGTGTGCTGAGTGATGCTAGAGACGTAGTAATTGTTCAGTAAGCGTCAACTACTTATTCTTGTGACTATAACCCCATCATCCAGGGCAGGAATCCTCGTCATGCCTGCTGTGTGGGTAGTGTCTGCTTGGCCACTTTGAGTGATGGAAAACTCACTTTCTTCCAAGGCTGCTATTCTGTTGCTGGACAACTCTTCTTATTCTGTGGTCCTTCCTACTCTATGCAGCAACAAAAATACACATGAGAAGTCCATACATACTGAAATGAAAAATATCCAAGATGCATTAAGTGAAACAGATCAAGCTGCAGAACAATGCATGCAGTAAAAAAACAGGATTTGCTCCATTCAGCCGTGAGATACCACGGTAACCAATAACAGATATTGGCCACTCTCTGTGGCTGACTGGCTTCTAAGAGGAGTTAGAGGAATTGCCCTCTCATGGTGGTATTTTCGGCAGCAGGGCAGAGGCTGGGAGGTAACAGAGGCGGGTTTGGGTGAAGACATTTCTGTCGATTAAATCACTTCGCTGGCTGCTAATTTATTCTCAGATACAATCAGTCCTAGAGCTTGACCAAGGGAAAAGCTCACTAGCCTCCCACAGTGGTTTAGATCATTTTTTGAATGAAGTTCAGGATCCAAAATTGATGGGGAGTCTTGAGTTTGTCATTTAAAAATTTCCCTAAACTCTCAAGCGTTGGCCAAGCATTTCCTATAGAAAACATGATGCATGCGAATCAGGGCAATCTCAGATAATCCTCTTTCATGACACTCCAAGAGTCTGACTTAGTGTCTCGTGTTATCCTCGGAAGATGGCCCAGACCCACCCCCTGCACCTGCTCCCTACCCAGCCACAGGGGGCACTCCTAGTTCCCCTCTGCAAGCACTATACCTGGAGAGGTTTGGAAGAGTATTATGTAACCACTCATTAGCATAAAGAGAATGCTTGTGAGAAATACTTGTCTGTTAGCATTGCTTCTGCCAGAGAAATTTCTGTGGGTTGCTGGAAGTCTGCA